TCTAGTGGCCAGATTAGCCACAGGTGTTGGAGAAAAACTATGAGGATCAAGAAAAGCAAGCTGTCTGATTGTGGTGATCATTTCACAATACATACATATATGAAAATATCAAGTCACATGACCTCAATATATACAGTCCTTATTTTAATTATATCTTAATTAATAACTAATTCGATTATATGTTAAGCTGGAAAAAAGAAAAGAAAAGCAAGCTATCAAATCAATATGAATAAAGACATTTAAGTTTTACCAACCTAGCAGTATCAGTTTAACCAGTAGATGAAAATTCCCTTGGTTAACTGAAATGGTCTTTACAAATGCAAGGGAATAAAGCAAACAAGTTTTCAGAAAATTCAGCATAAAGGCCAAATAAAAGCAAGTGTAAATCTAACAGCTCCTCTAAGAAATAATTCTTTTTTTAATTAGGTTCTCATCTTTAAAATAGCTGTACAATGCTACTAGAAGAAAAAATCCTAGAAGAGGAAAATAAATAAAAATTCTGAGGTTTAAGAATACAGGGCATTATGGATTATATTGGATAAAGATAACTGTATAGAGGCTGTCATGTTAAATGTGAAAAGACAAAGTAGGAATTCACTAAAGACAAAGCTGAAGCATAACAGTTAGGAATGATAGATACCTGAGTGGTGAGAGCAATGGAGCTCAGCTGCTACACTGCCCAGTGTTGTGAAACCTAATGAGTACATCTTTTTATTTATTCTTCTACCTAGCTATACTCTATGATTATGATGAAAGGTAACATGTTGATAAAATCAAAGATTGCTCTAGCAAAAAAGTAACACCAGACCTGTAAATAGCACGTGCCGTCTTTAAATACCTCCCTGTCAGGCATCCCACGGTTCACCACTACTTGACCTGCATCAACTCACAAAGACCTTGATGCTGGTTATCAAATTTTAGGGATCATTTAAGTTCCTCTGCTCTTCTATATACCCTCTTCTTCCCCTGCTGCCTTTGAGATATTTTCTCCTTGTTAAGGTATCTGAAACTAAAAAGTCATTTCAACAATTCATCATTGATGCTATGGATACAGAAGGAACCAGGTACTGATTACTTTTGGGCTAAGCAATGTACCCCTCTATTTCTCTTAATGCACACAGTTACCCTATAACTTAGATCATATTATCCAGATGCCCCATTTAGCCCTCTGTTGAAACAAGAGTAACTTGCCCAAAGAAAAAAAAAAAAACAGTAGGTAGTCAAATTAGAATTTAAATTAAAAATGTGTCTTACTCCAAGGGTTAAATCCAGAACTTCAGACCTATTGGACCAGAAAGAGCTGTAAACCAGTTTACAAGAAAAACAGCAGGGCTTTTTCTTTGGAAAAGGTCAGCATGCAGAAACAGAAAAGAAAAAAAATCAAAATGCTTTTGTCTCAATGGATTAGGGGTAGGTTGAATTTCCTGGTAAAGTAAGGAATCTGGAAATTTTCTATAGACTCTATTTGTCTGATACAACTTTGGTTTTGCCCTTCCCTCTCACAGTCTGCACCTCTCCATCGGAGAAGGGAGAGACTAAGAACAAGGGGAATGACTCCAGGATGTCAGGACACCCCTATGTGTGACAAAACAGATGCTGGCTGGTAGCAGTCATTCCGCCCCTCTGTTTTGAAAGCTCCTGCACTCTATAAACTGTCTGGAATTCATTAAGACAGGAAAACAGGCTGACAGTCCGTATTTCAAATTTTATTCAGCAGAAGTTTTGTGAAAAACAATTTGGTCATGTGGACGTACTCAAAATCATCACCTTGTTTTTCAACCAAATCTTTTAGTCAAGTGACTGCAGTATGCTTTAAGTTTCACTTTTTGAGCCTAGCATCTACAGGATCCTTCGTGATGTTAGCTTCTGAGATTTGGGCCTGAGATCCTCAGAGTAGTAAAAATTAGGGTAACTCCAAGTCACTCAGAGATCACATTTAGACCCAACCAAAAACCCTACCAGGGGTCACTAACGTAGATCAGATAGCTAACTTTCTAGAAAGGACTTTTCTTTTCCTTTTCCTTTTTTTTTTTAATCAGTGAGTAATTTTCATCAGTGATCATCTCTGGCCTGGCCACAAGCAGTACTGCATTTTTTACTAAATGTATTCTAATTCAAGGAACTTTTCAACCCAAAACAGCAATACAACTCAATACAGAGACACAGGATGCACAGTAAAAGCATTAGGGTAGTGGTTCTCAAACTGGAGTATAAATCTGCATCTCCTGGGGGAGTTGTTAAAACACAGATTCCTAGGACCACCATTACAGGTTGATTCAGTATATCTGGGGCAGGGTCTAAGAATTTGCACTTCTAACACATTTCTGATGCTGAAACTGCTGGTCTGGGGGCCACATTTTGAAAGCCAATGAATGCACTAAGGTGATGGTGGTGGATGCGTTGTTGGGAAATGGGGTAGTGACTTCGCTCAACAAACTTGGAATAGGAAGCATTGCATAGAGCTGGGATTCAGGCAGTGTATAAGCTTGGTCAGTCCCCATTCAGGTAGCAGAAATCCAAATTAACCATGTCTACTCAGAAAAGGAATTTATTGGTTAAATAGCAGAAAAGTCCAAGGCTAGGACTAACTAGGCCTACCAGGAACAGAACATGATATAGAAGTGAAGACACTACTAGGACCATGGCAGTTATGGTTAGCTATCCACCAAAATATGTTCGCCTTCCTAGGACAGAGGTGTTACTGCCCAGCTGGTATCTATATATGCCCCGATCCTTATATCCAGATGCAGATATGGCCCTTGACAACAGAATTTGAGCAAGAGTGATGCCTGTCACTGTTGGACCTCAGTTAATGACTTCTCTTTTTTCCTTTCCATCACTGAACACAAAGGATTCCAGGGTCATAGGCAATGGCAGAACCAGAAGATGGAAGGACCTTGTGTTCTTGATTTGCTATATGGAGGAAAGCTGCCTACCAATGAGGACCTACTACATGTATGACTATGGCATGTCACTTTGTTACAGTAACTAACATCAGCCCAATAGAAGGACTTGTTTTTTATCTTGGCCTCCAAGGTGTGGCTTTATTCTCATGCTTGACACCTTTCCTAGCTCAAGTCCAATGCATATAAAGGAAGAAAGTCTGTTAGCACCCAAGCAAAATCCTGAGATTCATTTTCAGTAGTCAACATGCACCCACTGAAACCAATCTCTGTGATGAAGGAATGTGGCCAGGCCTGTATCAGTTCTCCACTCCTGGGGCCATAAAACTGAAGCACATGGGTTGAATATATGGGAAGGGGATGTTAGAAGAATTTGGAAAAGAGACTGTGGGCAGGCAAAATAAGTGTCCACTAGAGGAAATCTGTAAGTAAGTACAGGGAAGTTGGCTGCCAGTGAGAACTGACTGGAAAGACATCAGGTATATGACCCCAAGAGTGTGAAAGAGAGGTACAAAAGACCAGCAGAATGACATGTAGTATAACTGACTCCAAAACTAAACCCCTATGAATTATCCTTGTCTTTCACCCCCTGAAGTTAAGTCATACATTCTAGTGACTATGATACTATGACCATGTAAGTACCATCGAATCTTCCTACTCATTTCTGCATCCACAAAGATTTACTGCTTCCATATGACATCAGTATCATCAGAATTGCATTCCAGGACCCCATCATTTAGCATTTACACATCTAGTACTTACCTAAACAAAACATTATTAGCATTCATCTACCTAAAGAGCAGTGGATGAATGGCCAAAGCTAAGATGACGCAAGGTATGGTTCCAAGAAGTTCTGCACACCAATAGCCCAATACACCACAGCCAGTGGCCAATCTCCCACAAGTCACTGCCCAAGCATATTTCCTTGCAGCAAACAGGCAAACTTTCATTTCGAATGGCACCAGGAATCATGCCAAGTTGCTTACATTTTTAGGGACTGTTTTATGTAAGCTACTTTAAGCTCCTCCTTGAAAAACAAATAAATAGAATTTTCAAGAATTCCTGGCTGGTGTCATCCTCTTCCCTTGAAAGTAAATGACCCTAAACTATTTTAATGCTTATTCACAGTCATTCTCTGCCAAAATCATTATAAATTAGTTACAAAGGGTTCTACTGGCCAAAGTGCCAATGTTCTAAATTTAAGTGGCACAGTTATGCAGGCTCAGTAATACACAAGAGCAAAGATAAACCCAAAGTAATACCTTTCCATCTTTTGCTGATAAACTTTAAAAGCTAAAAAATAAAACAACAATATACCAGTCCTTCTGATGGAGAAGGCACTGTTACAATACCGTGTCCATTCATGGACTCAATTTTAAAGTTTTGGGGACAGTCACCGGCAAGCTGAACAGCAAAGCCACATCTCAAGGAGGTTCTCCGGTAACATCATTAGGATTTCTCTAGGTTCTAAGTTCAACAGGAAAACCATCTTCAGGGTTTCCATGTGCTATTCCTTTCACCAAGTTTCAAATCTCCAGTTATAAAAATAAAATGTATGTTTCGAAAAACAGACTTCTGAGAATGAGTCAGCATTTAGGAACTTTTTATAATAAAGGTACCATAGTAAATAGAGCATCCCTATCTGTCTGTCATTTCATAATTTTATATATAACCTCAGCCATCAAGCTAAATGAATCTTCTCTGCTTCAAATTTTCTTCCCACTGAAGCAAGGTAAGCTTCCCAGAAGGAGAACCTGTTCTACAAATATAAGCTACACATGTTCCCAACAGAGGGGATGACAACTTTTCCCTTGATCACATAGGAAAACAGACGAAGGAGTACAAATGATTCAGCAAGTTGTCCCATTTTGGGGAAGAGGTAGGGGTGGGTAGGGTGAAAGCCACAGATGCCTTCCTGAAATTGCTCAATAACCCATAATTTTCTTTTAGAAGGACAAGATTCTACCAGTGCACTCCACAGACCCATAACTCACTCCATTTAAATTTAAAATATTTGCTCTCACAAGGCTCAGGATTTTTCCTTTTGCAAGTTACCACTTCCATGAGTATTTGAATTAGAGGACACAGCCACTGAAATGCCAATGCTTTTGAGCTTTTATTTAAGTAGCTGAATGAAGAGCCATTGCTTGTGGATGTCCATGTTGATGAAAGCTTGAGTGGTGTGTGGGAGGAGAAGCTTCTTCTTTTTCATTTCTGCACCAACACTGATATTTTCACATCAGTGTAGACAGGAAGCGTGATCTAGGGGCTGAAACACAGGACTGGGAGTCAGGAGTTCTACATGGGTTTTTTGTTTGTGGTGTGTGTGCATATTTTGTTAAATCAGTCTCAGGCTTTCCATTTTAATCCTAGGTTACTTGGACCTCTCCTGTGCACTGAAAAGTAATTAAAAGTTCAACGAAAAACCAATCCTAGGCTAGGCATTAGGGAAGCACAGTCAAAACATGAATGATGTCAGTAATAAGATCCATCTCCACTTTTAGTCCAGAGTTAGGTTTATGAAGATAATCATCAATCTGACTCACTCAACATTAGGAAAACACTTAAGATCAAGTCATAAACACAGGGAAGGTTAATGTCTGTATTTATTTCTCCATTATAAATTTATTACCTTAAATCAGTCCCATATGTTTTTGTGAGCATCTACAGGGTCCTTCCTGATGTCAGCTGCTTTACATGTGTTGCCTTTTATTTTCACAGAAACCCAGAAAGGTAGCTATGGCCTCATTTTACAGAAGAGGGAACTAGGGTTCAGAGAGACTGAGTAACCTGCCCAAACTCATACAGCTCATGAGTGGTAGCACTAAGACTTGAACATTTACTTCAGAATTCAGATCTTGCCTCAAAATCACTTTCTCCATGTGGTCATTCGCAATGACCCAATATAATAAAGCCCCTTCTTTCCCAGTCACAGTGTTACTGACACCCTATTTAGCTTTCATAGCACCAAAAATCATCTTGCTCATTTATTTGGTTCATTAACTGTGTCTCCATCTCCAGGATGGAAGCACCATGGTAGCAGGAACCTTGCCTGTCTGGTTCTACACTTCCCTATGGCCAGCACAGAGCCTCATACACTGTAGGTCTTTAAATAACCATTGGAAGGAGAAAGAGAAGGGAATGTAAAGAAGAAGAATACATCTGGTCCTCTGACCCCAAAGTTATATTGCCTCTGATTAAAATGATTGAGGGACATTTCAGAAGCACCTTGGGGAGAACAACAAAGTCCTCACAATTCTGAGGTGTCATTTACCTCCCTCCCCAGGACTCTGCTGCTCCCCCAGATACTGCCTTCCGTTCAGCCTGCCCTGGTTCGACTTCCAACTCAGATGGAAACTAGCCAAAGAGTTACCATCCATAACAAATTCGGCACAGTGCCCAGAGCCTAAAAACCCCCAGAAATGTTGGTCATTGAAGAGAAGAACCTCATCGTTCATCATTCTGAATGTCTGGACAGGTGCCTTGTGTGAACACTCCAAAGGTGGACTTTACTCTCCATGCCATGGATGAAACCCTGCAGTGGGGAGATATGTATCAAAGAAACAAGGGAGCCGTGTTTAAGAACCAACTTAAAAAAATAAAAAGCCTGATCCTCCTCCCCAGATCATAAAGAACAGGAAAAGGGGTAATTTCAACAGAGACCCCGGACCTGCTTGCAGGGCTTCTGGCCCTCTTCTGCATCAGTAAGGATGCAGACTTCATGACTTGGCATAATTCCTTGCTCCAGAGTACACAGGCTCACTAGGCTCACAAAAACCTTTTTATGAACTGCTAAATTGTCTTTACATTATCAAAAATTGTGATAATTGCACTTAATATATGCCGTATCTTCTTGATTATTTCTCCAAATAACACATATCTGGAGTTGAGTCAAACATATTTTTATGATTTACTTTGCTGAGACAAACCTGACAGCAAAGTACATTTTATACTTAAAACACACAAACACACACACAAAACAAATGGTTGCTTACTGTCCTTGAAAAAAATGACAGAAAAAAAGTCAGCCAAGGATTTTTTTTTTCATATTATTTATCCCAATACTGCCAGTTCTGAAACAAAGCAGTTGAAGGGAGAAATTCAGTAACTTTTATTTGTCCCAAGATACATTTTTTTACACTGAGGTCCTATTCCTGACAGTAAGCACATGTGACCTGTTCTAAAAAAAGGATATTTTCCACTTCTTGCACAACTGGAGCAGATATAAACATCAGCCTGTGCAAACTGCACTGCAGAACTCAAAGGGAATTAAAAACACACACACATACATCCACTTAAATAAATGCTATAAATAGCAGTACTCGGAAAAAGGAAATCTCCAACAGCACACAAAACCAACACTTAGAAGCCCACTTTAATCAAGCTTTCCATCTAATCACATCACAAAACTAATTTGCATAGTAAGATTTGAATATGTGCCAGGTTAAGGCATCTCAATCTTGCCTATTTTGCTGCAAATACATGATTCCATAGGTGTTTAAGTTATTGTTATGAGAAGGGAAAAATTATCATGGTCAATCAAGTAGGTAAGAAGGAATTGATATTACTAACATGTGCAAGGCACTCTGCAAAGCACTTTTACACGTTTTATCTCAACCTTAACTAACCAACACTAAGAGTATAATGTTTATCATCCCATTTTACAGGTAAAATGGTAAAGCAACAAAAGCTCCAAGAAACTAAGTGTGTTGAACATAGACATAATGGTTAAGTGGCAGAGACGTGCTTTAGTACAGCTCCTTCTGAACCTGTCCAGTGCACCCAATCTCTTGGCCACTATCAGGTACACACAGACGATGAGGAAGACCTGGGAGTCTGAAGAGACATTTCAAAGGCAACTAAAAATGCTGAAAGTCTATTTTAGGCTATGTCCTCCAAGGTGCCTAGCATTTTATTTAATGTTGCAGACAGATATGTTTAACCTTGAGTGCTAAGTATGCCATGACCTTCACGGACAAACTCAAATACCCCTGTTTGTTCACAAAGCTGGCCCCTGACTCCCCTTCTTCTGTTAAATATCAGTTGCTGATGCCCATGTCCCACAGTGACCATGCTTCCTCTTCTACATCTAGCTAGGCCCATGTGTTCTTTCCTTTACCATACGGGGAGTTTCGGAGAAGGTACAGAATGATGCGCCTTTGCATATCCCACCGCTGTGTGCACTGCCTCTTTCTTACATGGCCGTACAGACCAGTAGACCAGAGAATGGGGCTACAGCCAGATGGCCTTGATTTAAATCCAGGCCTATCTACTTGCTATGCCCCAGTTTCCTTCTCTGTAGAATAGGAATAATTAAAATACATGCATGCAAGGTCAAGTGGGAATTAACTTAGCTCATATAAGTAATATATTCAGTATTGTTCCTGGCATGTAGTAAGAACTGTTTTTAATGTTATAATTAATCTTATTATTGTTTAAATTTATATCACCATCTCGTGCCAGTTTTACAAAGACTAAGTTAACAGATATAAAAACATAACAGGGGCTGGCACACAGTACAGGTTCAATAAATGTTAGCTATGTTTACTGGTATTAATTTGCACGTTCTAGGACTCAATAGATAATGTGTGGAATTGAAATTTTGTGCTTGTGCTGATGCAACAACTGCTTACTTTTTAACCAAAATAATTTCTTAATTTTCATGGGTCAGATTAAAAATATAAAATGCAAAAAATATATCTGAACAACTCATTAGAAGGAAAGCAAAAAAAAAAAAGAAGAGAATTTACTACAATTGAGGTAATTTTATTGCATAACAACACTGGCCTTAGAGAAGAAAGCCAGAGTCAACTACATGCAAACACTTTCCTAATATCAGGACTCACTGCTAAGTAATAAAGAAATAGCAAGAACAACATTTGCTAACATTTGCTGAGCATTTACTATGTGCCAGGCATCATGCAAATACTTTTCCAAAATGAATGTCACAGTTTAATTTTCTTAAGATCCTTAGGAGGCAGGACCCATTTTCCAGATGAGGAAACTGAAGTTAGAGGTCAGCCTGCCCAAGGTCACCAAGCAGGTTAGAGACAGACAGTGATGGCCTAATAATGCTCTTAATTTCCATGTTGGCAGTTCCTTGCAGTGTCCCTGCAGGACAGAGAGAAAAATCAAGAAAACCAACAAAAAGATTGACAGTTTTGTTTTACCAAGAATGAATTATTATTTCATAAAGAAAGTGTATTTTTAATATGAACATAGGTGGAAAAATCTCAGAATTAATCCAAGTAATGGCACTGGCCTCAATCAAAATATGTGTGTGCCAGTGTGTGTCACATTAATAGTCTTGGTCTTTCCAAATGCCAAATGATTTCCCTCATCTGTGGAGTATAACAATGAAGCAAAACTGAAGGAACAAAATGGCAGGAGACTCAGAGACTCTAAGAATGAGCTAGTGGTTACCAAATGGAGGGGTGGGGGAGGGCAGGTGGGGAGGGAGGGAGAAGGGGATTGAGGGGTTTTATGTTTAGTACACATGGTGTGAGGGATCATGGGAGAACAGTGTATAACAGAGAAGGCACATAGGGGATCTCTGGCAACTTGCTACACTGATGGACAGTGACTGCATTGGGGTATAGGTGGGGACTTGATAATATGCGTAAATGTAGTAACCACATTGTTTTTTCATGTGAAACCTTCATAAGAGTGTATATCAATCATACCTTAATAAAAATTTTTTAAAAATAGTCTTGGTCTTTCTCATTTCACTGCAAACCTGTGAAACTTCACACACCTATGTATGAAGCAGCATTTGGGAAGCACTACTGTAGCCTGTCCAGCCATTATAAACCTAATATTTGCTTTCATTCCCATTCCCATTTGCAGGAAGTTAAATAACACTTACCTAAAACATTATGAAAACCTTAAGAAGAGAACAAACTGGACTTAGATTAGGCCAGTTCTGAAGTCTGTCCAGGAAAAGGGCATTAGTAACAATCAACTACAAAGCCACAGAATTTAGCACCAAGTAAACGAAACCAAAGGATCATGAAAGATACTACCAAATTTTAAAGTGATTTTTTCAGGTCCCAAAGACCTACAGAGTTCCTCTGCTGCCAGGAGCTCACTCAACTGCTCCACATTTGTGAATCCTGGGTTCATATTCAGCACTTTTCCCCTGCCAACTCACCAATCAGAGCTTATTCCCATGAGAACACACAAAGGTTTCAAAAACCTTGTTGAGGAAACCAAACTACAATCAATTCTTCATTAGAACCTTTTCTCAGTGTGTCTTCCTTTCTCAGTGTGTCATACTGACTCAGCTCTGGCAGTCAGTATGACCAAAAGGGGGCTCACAGTATCTAAACCCAGCAGCTTCACAGTTCTAAAGGCCAGGACATTCAGGTTAGGAAAGAAACAGCTTTCCTCATGAAACACGAGCTTGGCCAACTGAAGGATATATAAGCTCCTCTTGGAGGAAACCTTGGTGGATACCTTTTTTAAAAGGAATGCAAGGTTGAATGCAAAAATCAGGACCAAACGCCTCATTCTGAAACCCAGTACTAGAAGAGAAAGCAACACAGATTCAAACATCATTATTGTGCCAGGCATTATTCTAGGCCAGTCATTCTGAAACAGGGGTGATTCTGACCCTCACACTCTGGGCATTGTCACACCCTGGGATTGGGTGTTCCTGGTCTTCAGTAGATGGAGGCCAAGGAGGTGGCTAAACACCCTGCACTGCCCAGAACAGTCCCCACAACTAGGAATGATCCAGCACAAAATGTCAATGGTGCTGAGGTTGAGAAACTCTTCTAGGCACCAGAGACACAGCAGTACAGAAGGAACAGAAAGAAACTCCTGCTCCCTAAGGAGCATATTAGAAATATACAGAGTTGGTTACAATGTAAGTACTATGAGGAAGAAAAGAGCAGGGCAAGGAAGATTAGAGTTTGGAGGGATAGCAGTTGTAAATAGCACGGTCAAGCCAGCTTGATGGGAATGGTATTTAAAGGAAGGCCTGAAGCTGGTGGGGGAGTGAGCACTGCGGCTCTCTGGGCGAATGACCGTCCATGCCCAGAGAGTACAACGCACAAAGGCTCTGTGGTGGATGGGTCTGGAGTCTTCCAGGAACAGCAAAGAGCAGAGGGAGCCAGAAGACTGGAAGCAAAAGATGCTGAAGTTAGAGCTGACACAGAGCTTGACCATATATACAGGCTGCTTTTTGCCATGTTAAAGATCTTGAGTTTTACTGAAACTAGCAATCATAAGAGGGTTTTGAGTACAGAATGACATGATGTGACATGTTTTAACACAGCATTTCTCAACCTCAGTGGCAACGATTTGAGGCCAGATCATTCTTTGCTGTGGACACTTTTCTAGGCACTACAGAATGTTTAGCCGCATCTGTGGCCTCTACTGACTAAAGGCCAGTAGCAACCTCCTTCGGTTGTGACAACCAAAGATGTCTCTAGACATTGCTAAATGACTCTTGGGGAATGGGAGGCAAAGTCACCCCCTGATTGTGAACCAGTTTTAACAGAAACACTGTGGTTGCTGTGCAGAAAATCCACTAAGAGCAAGTAAAGGTAGGAAGCAGGGGACCAGCTAAGAGACTAGTAGAAGGACCAGGGCAAGGGCTGGTGGTAGCTTGGACCAAAATGGTAGCAGACAAGTTGGTGAGAAGTGGACAGAATCTGGACATATTTACAACTCCAAGAGACAATCTGGAGAATACAACTGATCTACAGAATGGCTACAGCAGTCTTAACCTGTCAATCTCAACTTCCCCCAACCCAGACTTAGAAGAAGCAAGGTGCCTGGCAGACTTAAGACAAAAAGCCACTAGGAGTCCCTGAACAACGTGTAGTCCTCTTAGAGTCACACAACAGATGCCGGTGACAATACGTTAGACAACTGTGGAAAACAGTATAGAGAAATTTTGCCAACCCCATATATTTATTCACAGATTTTATTTAACTGGTTTATTTCAAAGAGCATGTGTCTGCTCCACAGACAAGTTTTACAACAACTTTTTTAATTTAGCCTTTCTCTCCATACCGGCTCTGTCCTGCACCTGTTTCTAGCTTCAACGTGTGAAAGCCATTGCTTCCCACGTACCCACATTTTTCCTTACATGTGCTGTAGCTACCAAGGACGTTCACCCTTGGAAGTAATTTTCTGCCGACTCTGAAAAAGAGCAGGCCCAGATCCTTCAACATGAGTTTCATGGCATTCATTTGGGTTTTTCCAGATGGTATTTTCCTCACTCTCTCAAACTCATTTAATGTTATGTATCAGCTACCATCAAAAATGTTCCAAACAGTCCAGTTAATTCATTTCTTTCAGGACACACAACACACACACTCTCTCTCTCTCTCTCTCTCTCTCTCTCTCTCTCTCTCTCTCTCTCTCTCTCTCTCTCCC